TCTCAATTTCCTATTGATTCTGTTTGTTTACTCTGTACACTCAACACAGATACTAGGGGCAATATGCTTTGCGTTCTGATTTTTTCTGGATTTCCAGAACTACAGGGCTCAGGAGGAATGGGAAGGAAAGGCTTGACATCACTAACCTAGGAATGCCGTGCAAGCATTTCTAATCCCGTAGATGTGACGACACTTGCATTAACCTGCAGTCTTTGGCTGAGAAATAACTGTAACCATTGCTGTGGTAGTTGAACACTGCAGCAGGACAGGAGATGTTTTGTTCTGGTTTCCAGCTCCCTTGCTGAAGCTGTCAGCAGTGGGTAGCAGCTGCCAGAGGAAGGTTTAAATGCCTCTGTGTCTGGGGGAGTTGCCTGACACTTAACAAAGCCTCTCTGCTGTGGAGCAGCTGCAGTGCCAACACTGCCTGGGTGTAGTTCATGTGAACTCTGAGAGCCCACCTGGCAAACACTGGCATGGGGTAACCTGGGGATTTGGCACTGGCTTTGCAGCAAGTTCAGGCTTTGTGTACCTGGAGGAGGCGAGAGGAGAGTGCAGGACAGCTCTGAGGAACTGGCCACACTTGAGTTGTATCTAAGAAATAACTGTAAATCTCTAACTCCTCTGCACAGAGAGGCTGTCATACATGGTAGCTGTTTGATTGCATGAATATGTGTCTTCTTGGGCAGCTTAAATTCCAAACTCTGAAGACATGAACCTGTTTGGGTCTCTGTAAGCCTCAGTGGATTAAATCCAGCTCATGTAGTTGTGCTTCAGCCAAGCAACAGCAAATGCACCTTCCACCCATTTTCCTTTTATCTGGCACCTGTTTGACATCAACATTCCCTTTCACATGTACTCTCCCTTTGCAGGGATCCTCACAGCCTTAACTTTTTTCTAGGCTATAAAAAGTTGACTGAGGCTGCCAGTGACTGTTAAGTGCTACCCTCTGCCCCCCATTAAATGCACCCATTGCTGGTGCTGGATACATTCCTATACAGGGCTCTGGGCTCTTTGAGGCAGCAGGGGTAGCTGTGTGCCACCACCACTGCCACACTGTGCAGGAGACACCTTTGGACCTGTGAGGTACCAGGCTAACAATTCAATGGTTTGAATTATAAGAAGATAGAATTCTTTTTCCTCTCCAATATTAGGTGCAAACTACAAAGTGGTAGCAGTTGATCTGGTTCACTTAAAACCTCAGTTTTGCTAAAGGCAGAGCTGGAAGTATCCAGAGAAGTTGGGCTCCCTCCATTGTTGAAACATATGCTAATTATAGAACCAGAAAACACTTCTTGTGCTTGACCTCAAGGGATTTTGAAAGTCATTCTCTAGTAGTAAGAGGAAGATTTGGTAATTAGAAAGACTTTACTGCATCTGTGTGTGGTTAACAGTGGCTCTTCTGATTACCTTGAGTGAATTATTCTGGGATAACACAAGTGTGGCCTGGCTGTTGTTCAGAACTGGGGAGATGATCTTTCAGGTGCCTCTCTTCTCCCGTGGTGGTGAGGTTTGTCTCTCCACATCCATCCTGATGAGATTTCTGAACTCTTAACAAATTTTGGTGCCACTATCTACTAGGTTGTACATGGTGCAAAATTTGGGCCCAGATGTTGCCTTCCCTCCCAGCAAAGGAGTAGGGCCCTTTTCCTTCTCAGAGCAACTTTGTGCTAGCAAGTGTATTGAACCCTGCCTAACTCCAAGGAAATGAAAAGGAGATCACTGAATGCAATAGTGTAAAGTCATTTGAGGCTTCTTTTCACTGAGAGCTATTAATACGTTGAAACTGCAGGAAACCAGTCCATTTTAAACAAACAGCTTTTTGGCTTCCAGTGGTATTTCACAGAAGTTAAACTCTGGGATCTTATCATCCTAGCTGTGAAGTCTAGTGGTGCCTGATTAAATGTAATCCATTCTTAATCAGACAGGAGAGTTATCAATGGTAAGAAGCAGTAATGGATAAATCTTGCAGGATATGTTTCACAGCCCTGCCAAGTATTTACCTACCACTGGCTTTGGGCTGAAGTTGCACCAGGGTGTGAGCTGGAAGGCTGTTGAAGAATGGCCTGGAATGGATTCATGATTCTGTGTGGTGACATTTGGGATATAATTGTCACTGCCTGAGGAGCACTGGCAGAGCTGTTGGTTGTAGGTCTGGGATGAAGGATTCTGTAAGGTGGATAATTAACTTGCTTCTGGTGGACTATTTTGTGCAGAAAAACAGACTTTTGGGGGAATAAAAACCACACAGGTTCTCTACATGGGCATTGCAGCAGCCTACCTCTAGGAATAATACTTTTCACTGTAAAATTTAGCAGTGTTGCAACAATAGTGGGGGTTTGATATCTGTGTGTTTTAAAGGCCATCCCAGAGGAAAGCTCTGAGGTACAGAGCAGAGGGCACTTGGCTATTTCATTGGACCTTAATATGGCTGAAAGCTGTAGAATCTAAAAATCATGTTGTGACTGACATAGTTTATTAGAGGAGCATTTGAGGTTTTTATGACATACTGAATGGTTTTAAGATCAATAAATATCTAATTACAGATTCGAGGCCAGATTAGAGTCCCAGTTCAGTTACGAGTGAGCCAAAGGTTGTAGCTGTTCATAGAGACTGTACAAAGATCTGAGAATGTGAATGTCCTGACAGATCTGTTGCAGGCAGAGCTTCATGAGAATAACCCTTCTCCTCACAACGTTTTCCTGTGTGCTGAATTTGTACTGTTTCTAGTGGTTGATTGAGAGCAGCTTTACATTCCATGTTGAGAAATTTGTTAGATGGAGAAAAAAGTGTCTTTCCAAACAGTGTCTCTACTTTAGTGAGCTCAGCACTGAAATGTTAGATAAGGGCTTAAGTCCCACTGCTGGGATCTGTTTGAAATCAGACCTGGATCTGTGTTTCACATACCACATTATGTGATTTCAGCCCACCTAATTTCACTTCTTTGGTGCTCCTGAATCTTAAAACCCTCCCAATTTTGGGAAGAACTGACTCTAGCTGAAGTGATTCTGTGCCATCTTGGAAGTGTGGTTGAAGAACCACCTGGATGAGGAACTCCTGGTAGGGAAGGGGAAGAGCATGGCAGGGCAATAGCAATAATGACTCAGTGCAATACTCAGTGGAAGCAGTGAATTCTTTAGTTTATTGAGCAGGATCTTCATGGGGTTGAAATCCCTTAAAAGCTCCCAAATGAAATTACAACTTCTATCTAGTGTCCTTTTTTCTTGAGTCTTGGAGCTCTGATTACCCTTATCACCCCTGCTGAAACAAAATCAGTTACCATGGAAAAGAGAATATCCTGAGAAAGCAATAGCACTGGTCTCCAGTGGGCCATGCATTAACTGTTTGTCTGCTGGAAGGTTTCTCCCTACACCTGGGTTATTTCTGTGCCTTATACTTGCTAAAGGTAACTCATCTCTGGAAGGTTTGTTGTGACTATACAGTTCTTGCTGATTTTTAACTTGGAGACTTTTGCAAGGGGATAACAGTCCAGAGCATGCCAGATTGTGACATTATTAATTGCTCTTTCAATTTCTCTCATGATCGCCACTTCTCTCTTCCTAAATACACAGAAAGGAGATGCACAGGGGCTTCATTGTATTTTAACAACTCATGTTGACTGCTTTGGTGTGTCAGTTCTCTCTACAGGCAGAATTCAGAATGTGCTTGCAGCACCAAAGTCTCACCTCTTATACCAGAACACCTTTACATTTCTTCTTTTGTTTTGCTGTGTGACAGAACAGTTCTCCCTTTGGTTGTTCTTCACCTTTATTCTGTTTTCATGTTGGCCAAACTGCTAAAGGACTTCTCAGTTCTCTCACACAATTCAAGTACCACTGGGCTCTCCGGGCAACATCTACCATGGCACGATTATGACCTAGAATATTTTGCTGTATTTCAACCATGGAAGCTGTAGCAGAGGAAACTCTGCTCGAGATACCTGTTCCCAAAGCTACACCAATGCAATGATCTCCACGTGCAGCTGGAGGGGAGACACGGGTTTTTAAACAGTGCAGATGCAGCCTTACTATTGCCACCACCACGTCTTCAGCCTTTAGATTGCAGTGTGAGGTTGCAGGAGTGTGGCTAAGCCTGGTACAGGCGGGACTGCTGCGTGCACAGGACAGTAAGAGATGATGGCAAGCCTTCTGCAATAACTCGTAATTCCACTGATCAGTAGTAAACGATGTACAGATAAAACTTGATGAAATGTATTTTATGTGAAGAAAAAAAAATAATGTAAGAACTGTATATTGTATTAGCAGCTTTGTGTATAAAATGGCATTTTGGCAATCAGAGTCTAATATATTTAAAACTTTTTTTAAAAAAGGATATTTGATATTGTATGGAATTGACTTTATTGCTACTGTAAGTATGAAGATGGTTTCTTAACATGTTGAAGCAATGCATAAAATCTTAAACTTTATGTAAAACTCATGCCAAAAGTGTATGTTTGACAGTATTAGCACCTGACTCAGTGTCTTTAATAGAGAGATTGAATTTTTTAATTTAAAAATTATATTAAATTTCTTTTAATAATACAAAAATGCCACTGAAGGGTTTGTTTTTTGNAAAATTATATTAAATTTCTTTTAATAATACAAAAATGCCACTGAAGGGTTTGTTTTTTGGTTTTTTTTTTTGGTTTTTTTTTTGGTTGGTTGGTTTTTAACTGGTTTGAGTTTTGGCACTCTGTTAAATATCTCTACCTCTCAGCTGTCTACAGCCAGGGGATGTCTAGAAGAGGAAATCAAGGCAGTGGATGGATGTAACTTGGATGGGTTCAGAGCTCAGGAAGCGTTTGGACAATGCTCTCAGGGCCATGGTGGCACTCCTGGTGCCGGAAATTGGACTTCCATGAGACTTGGGGATCCCTTCCAGCACAGAATATTCCGCGATTCTGTGAAGTGGCGGCAGCTGGAGCTGGAGACAAGCTGGGCAGCCAAAGCCGTGCTTGCCTTCCGAGCTTCTCAAGGCTTTAGCTCCGGCACTGGTTAGCGCGAATGTGTACGGGCGCCCTTCTCGGAGCGGTTTGATTCTGTTCAGGGCAAAAACTCCTCGATGCCTGCCCTGAGGGGCAGCGGGGCTCGGGCAGGGCCCGCCCGGCGGAGGCGGTGCCGCCCGGCGGAGCC